GGGCCTTGTAGCGTATCTCAAACTCTCTTACCTCCATGGCCCATTTGGCAACTCGTCTAGACATGTCAGCATTATGAAGTATCGATTTAAGGGGTTGATCAGTCAATACCTCAATGGGATACGCCTGAAAATAATGTCTAAGCTTCCTCGCCGAGACTATCAAAGCTAGTATAAGTTTTTCCATTGGCAAGTATCTGGTTTCGGCATCAAGCAAGGTCTTGCTTACGAAGTAGATAACTCTCTACACCACATCATGCCCTCTTACCAGAGCTCTACTAACTGCCTCTTCTGAGACAGATAAGTAGAGATTTAAACTTCACCCGTCGCCAGAACATATAAGGTTGGGGGACCCTAAGGTATTCCTTAATCCCCTCAAGTGATCGGTCATATTCCACACCCCACATCCCTTTTACTGCCCCTTTAAGCATGGCGAAGAACGGTTTACACCTGTCCAAGGACTTGGAGATGAACTGATTGAGGGCCGCTAGTATTCTGGTCAATTTCTGAATGTCTTTTGTAATTTTTGGCGCCTAGATACTTTGCATAGCATGTACCTGTTCGAGGTTGGCCTCTATGCCCCTATAGGTGATCAAGTACTCCAAAAATTTGCTCGAGCTCACCCTAAAAGCACACTTCGAGGCATTGAGCTTTAGGTCGTATCTTTGAAGCACAGCGAAGGTAGTTCCGAGATCTCGGAGATGGTCAGACTTCTATTAGCTCTTAACTAATATGTCATCAATATACACCACCATAATGACGCCGAGTTGCTACTTAAACATCTTGTACATCAGGTGTTGATAAGTGGTACCAGCATTTTTCAACCCTAACGACATCATCGTGTAATAGTATATCCCTTGGGGTGTGATGAACGCAGTCTTCTCCTGATCTAATTTATGCAAAGGGATTTGATGGTAACTTACCCGAATGTCCATGAAGGAGATACATTCATGACCCGCGGTCGCATCAACAAGCTGATTGACCTTTGATAGTGGATATTTATCCTTGGGACATGCCTTATTCAAGTTCGTGAAATCCACGCAAACTCGTTATTTTCTGCCCTTCTTCTTTGCGCACACCGTGTTTGACAACCACTCAGGGAAATGGACTTCCCTGATAGACCCCGCCCAGAACAACTTGTCTACCTCTTTGTCTACTGCTTGTATGTGATGGGGTGCAGTTCTACGAGGTTGTTGTCTCTCAGGTATAAAGGATATGTCCACATGAAGCCGATGACAGATTACCTCGGGACTTATTCTTGTCATTTTGGCTTGGGTCCATGCAAAGACATTTGCATTCTAGCAAAGGAAGCTCAATATTTTAGGCTTCTCAATGCCACCTAATGAAGCCCCTATTAGAAAGAATCTCTCCACGTCCTCAAAATTCAAAAGGATCTTGACCAAAGCCTCCGTATATCGATCAGTTGGATCCGTAATTGGGTCTTCTACACCAGACTGACCGAACTGTGATTGCTATTTAGCCAACACCGCCTCAGGGTCATGGTCATGGGCTCGGGCGTTGACCTCAGTCTTTACTGCGCCGTAAAAATAACTTTTTGATGACGCCTGATCGCCACCAATTTCCATGACACACCTTGGGATTGGAAATTTTATCTTTTGATGATAGAATGAATGTACTGCCTTCATTGCATGTAACCATGTCCTGCCCATGATGACATTGTTTGGAGAATTGAAGTCTATCACCACAAATTCTACCAGCACAGTAACAACTCCAACAGTAACCATGAAAGTGATCTACTTGAGAGGAGGGTGCAGTAACCGTTAAAACCCACAAGGGGGGTCCTTATTGGTTTCAAGGCTTTCTAGGTGAACCCCATTCTGCAAAAGAGGTTGTCGTACATTACTTCGAACGAGCTACTTGAGTCTGCCAAGATCCTCTTGACATCAAACTTGTCAACCCAAAGGGTGATTACTAGATCGTCCTCGTATGGGAGTACTAGCCCACCAAGGTGGTCATCAAAAAATGGATGGTTTCATCATTGAGTCGAGGTCTCTTAGATAACTGCCCCCCATGCTTGCTCTCCTTCACCTTCATAGCTTGCGAGACCCTCTAGATGTTGAATGCAGACATTTCACTACTCTGAGGCCCGCGCTTCTCACCCAGGTGCCTATGTAAGCTCTTCCTCGGGGCATCCTGCCTTTTATCCTTGGAATCACCCTGGCGGACACTCCAGTCTCCACGTCCGTTGTTTTGCTAGCTGGCACTTCATGATCGGTCGAAATTATCGAGTCGATCTTGCACCTTGGCATTGTCCTTCTCAAGTCACTTAAGACGGCTTCCCATCCGTTTTTCCACCAACTCGACAATTTCATGAGCCAAAAGACCTTGCGCCCCAAGGCCTTGATCTACAGGCAATGATTGTTGTGAGGCATACTCACCTCCATCTGACTAGCTCAAGGAGTCTAACTCAGTGACTCCTGGGAGCCGACTAGCTTCTACATTTCTCACGCACAGACTGCTCCCCCGGGTCACTTTGGGATTATGTGTTTACCATGAAGCTATCGTTATGGCAAAAGTTCTTGAAGATTCCCACAGACGGCGTTAAATTGCATGGGTGAATTCTTGCAATGATTTGAGATAGCAATCCGCTGGATGATAAACCCGAAACAATCAAAGGATTAGGAAAGAGGCTGAGTGAACACTCGACTAATCCCCTCTGATGCTCAAGTCAGTCGGCATTTAGAGACATTAGCGCTGTGAATTTTCTTAATGTATGTTGCGTACCTTTGTTCATCTTTCTGAGCGGTATTTATACCTGAATCAGCAATGAGTGTAAGATCTTTGAATCTCATCTCAACATTTAATGGCTCACACTCTTATTTATGCATAATGAATGTTCTCCCTTCAGGTTCTCACAAGACTGATTCAATCGAGCGATCGAATGACAGCCCCGGGCACGTCGAGCATTTATGGCCCTATCCCCAGTCATTAAATACATTTGATCGATGCTTGACACCTACGCCCGAGAACATCGGGTTGGCGCAATAGCCATTAATGTTTTGTAATGGTGATTGTCTATGTGGTTCTCGAGGACACAGAGACATATTAATAGTCCTGTCACAGTCACTCAAGTCGTCAATAATGAGCAGTCATGTCCTATTTAATATTGGGTTCAATCAGTGTATGCTCGGCTCTTTTGGATCATTACTCCTCGACTCTTTCTTCTGGTGCCCTTTGAGGTCCATAACGATTATAATTGTCCACGTGTCAACTTGGGACTGTTGAGTCTCCTAAAGTCCCACCAAAATGGCTCGTCACATGTTAGGTAGTCGCTGATGCCGAAGAGACGGAAGATGGAGGACAAAAAGGAGTATTAACAACCAGAAAAATCATCATTGAATGTCAACTTTTAATAGCAACTCTTATCATTACGAAAAAGTAAGTATTGACGACAAAAGTTTAATTTTGTTATTAAAAACTTTTTCAAGACTCTCATAGGCCCACCAATTGGCAGAAATTTTTTTTTGATAGTGGTAGACTTTTAGCTACGAATTTTTAATATTGGACTATAAATTTTTTGGTTGATAAAAACTTGATTTCTTGTAGTGTGTTCATTATAATCGTTATACATTGTACTTAATACTTCATCATAGTAGTATTGCACCCGCTATATTTGAAGTGTCATAGTAATTCACAGTCGTATATAAATTTTTGTGTCATTTAGTTACCGAATTGTACAGATAAAATCTAGTCATGCCCCAGTGCAAAGCACATGGGATCCCTAATGGCTTGCAAAGAATAATGAATCTGACTATACCCAGTTGGTTTGGTACAAGAGGGAAAAAGAGTTGGAATATAGCTTTCCAGAGATATGACAGGACGTTTTCTTTGTCTATGTATTGATTTGTGGTGATATAACGTGTGTGATCCACATATTTTGCTGAAGAAAAAGGGTATAGGAGGTGACCAGATATGGATCCCACTAGGACGTGACTGTAACAGCCCTTCGCACAGGGAAACCCCACTAGAGATGTCCAGATGGAGTCACACTTAAGGACGACCTGACTCATAGCCGGTCTCCAATCCCACCCCATGAATCGAATTTGGGACATAATCCTTACATCCATCAATCAAAACCCTTAATGGGGTGTAAAGCACCACTAGACCACACAACTGTTAGGATTTAACACGATTTAAATCCACTAACAAACGCACACAATCGAAAAACAAATCAAGAATATAAAGCAATAAGAAACAAGAAAGAACAAGACACAGATTTTACGTGGTTCGACAATTTGCCTACGTCCACGAAACTGCAGGGATTTCACTATTGAAAGAGTTGAATACAAAGAGCGGCTATACAATCCACGATTAATCCTAATCACCAAAACAAGCATAGAAGAAGTATACAATATGTTCCATGAAAAAACTCTCATGAAAGTTTGATCTTATAAAAGACAATTCAACTCTAGTACTAGGGTTTATTCAGTTCTTCAAATTTTTTTCTTTGGTCTTCGACTTTGAGATACAGGTCAGGTGATCCCAACCGGGTAGCATTAACATAATCTTGGAGACAATGAGCAGGCACACCTGGGATCACCACGCCAATCAGTCTCAACAATTGAAGAAGACCTCCTTCTTTGTATTCTTTTCCTTTGGTGTAGGGGATGACGAAGCTTCTTATTAGCTCCCAAATTGCATTCAACATCTTTGGTATTGCCCACAATGGTGAGAAATAGTTCTTGTTTGGTTCCTCAGGTAAAATCTGCATAAAAACCAAAAATTGTGAGTAACAGCTCTTGTTCATTTTTTAGTGACAATCTTTCAATCAAGAGTAAGATTTCAGTACCATCTAAAAGTTGCTTTATAAAAATTATAAAATTATGAGTTAATTTCTGAGATCGAGTTACAATCTCAAGAGTAAGTTATCACTAAAAAAATTTAGGATCAATCGTAAATGATAGGATCAATCCAAACAATCTCAATTTGTGGTAACTTCGTTAAATTAAGTTTTCGTTAATTAAGTCCTAATCTCACTGTGTACGAAACGAAAAAGCAACCTTTTTTGGTACCCTGATCCTACCCTTCCATCAAACATGAGAGAGAGAGAGAGAGAGAGAGATGCAGATCCTGACCTTCCCCTTATAGAAGCTATCATAATAGAAGCACGTCCCAAAGTGCTTAAACATAAGTGTCCTGTCATCATAAGGCAACCTAGGAACTATATCATTGCAGTAAACAAATCTGTAATAACGAATACCATACTTTCTCAACTTCTCTTCCATGTACTCCCCAAATTTCTCATCCCCAACTCTTGGTTGTCCAAAGGTATAAACTCCCTCCAATCTCTCCAACAACCCTTCCTCCCTATGAAATGCCAAAACTGATGCAAACAAAATGGCTAAGGCACCACCCAAACTGTGACCAGTTATTATAATTTTTGCTTTCTCATTTGTTCTTAACAGCTCTCTCAGCATTTCTCTAATGGCATAGTAGGCCACTGCTGGTTCGTTATTGGCTTGTTCGATTTCGTTAGGCCACCCTTTGTTCTTCTGTAACCCTAGAGCTTTCATGAACCCGCCATGAACTTTTCCCATTTCAGGGAGCTCGTACCAGGAAAGGTCAATGTCTGAACTCCATGCGTCTGCGTCGAACGTTTCAGTACCTCTGAATGACACCATGATCAGTTCAGGGTCATCGATTTTGTCTTGAAGCATGAAGGCTTGTGTTGTAGCTTTCTCTTGATAATCTGTAAAACATACACTTCTAATATTAATTTTCTGCTTCTTAATTTATTTCTCAACCAGTAAGGTTCCTGGCAGGTTCAAGAACAAGTTTATGTCAAACTCATGGAAAGGAAGGTAGCTTCTCACCATTCCAGAAATCGTAGGACCCCAAGAACTTCATCTGCACAAAATCATATATGTTAGATTGCAAAACTAAAACAATATGGTAAATGATTCGGTTAATGAAATTACTTACTTATCGGGGAAAAAAAGAGGGTAAGCAAACATGGGTATTGTGGCTATTTCTCATATGGACACTAAACTCTTTCTATATTTGTCTCTCCCCTTCTATTGTTCTTAACAATAACGTTACTAATACATACTATAGACTTAACACATTAGGCATTTTGGATTGATAGTGGACTTTCTTTAGTACCGTGATTCACTATTATTCGAATGATTAAATTTTGCTAAAAGTTTATGGAAGCTACTGAACTCGATTGTGTTTTTCTTAATTTGACTACTATCTTCTTGCAAAGTGGTAAATTAATGTGAAGGAACGTAAGATTAAATTATTGCACCTTCCAGTGATCCGTGACAGTGGCTTCAATGTAAGCTTTGTTCTCATAAGATGCTTTAGAAGCCATCATAGAAAGCGCTGCGTAGTATCTGCTATCTCCGACTTTGATGTTTTTGTCTAACTCCACCCGCTTGTCCATATTTCCTGTAAATGACAAGAATGTCGCCGACTTTTTATCTGGAACCACCACCTTCCCTGCAAACCAAAATCAATTCTATTGAGTTCAGAACCGATGTATCGACCTTTTTATTGTGTTTAACTAAAAGAAAATGGACCCTAAAAATTACCTAATGTTGGACTTGAGGTTCGAGTTGGTAGGAGCTTTGTGTGTGGCACAGTGTAGTACCATTGATATCAATATATATATATATAATAAAGTAGCTTACAATTGAAATCTCAAAAGATAAATAAAATAACTTTTGTTATTCGCGGTTGAAATCGTTTTAAATTTTATTTTAAAATTAATCTAACGACTAATATTATCACCTTATATTTAATAGAAAAAATAGGACATCAAGGGTATGTTTGGAGTGACTTTCTAAAAGTACTTTTAAAATTTATTTCTCATAAATATTTTTAAAAAAATAGTGTTTGAAACAATCTCATCACTACCTCTACCACCACCATCTCCACCATCACTACCACCGCCACCGCCACTGTTGTCGCCACCCCCACCCCCACTTTCGTTGTTGTCAACACCATCGCCACCACTACCACCACCAGAATCAGCGCCACCACTACCACCACCGAATCAGCACCACCACCACCACCACCACTGTCATCGCCGCCACCACCCCCACCGCCACCACCACCGCTGTCACCGCCCCCCAACACAACCATTACCATCTCTTACTAGCGTCACTGTCGCCCACCACCTCTCACCCTCACTACAAATTGATGTTTAGATTCATTTATCTTTTTTTTTATATTTGTAATTTAATTTTGAATATGAATAAAAATATTTTTATTGTTTACAATTTTTTATTACTCTGTACCTTCAGGTACAGGCAAATGACTAGCATATATATAAGACCCCCCTTCTTGGTTATAGGGCACACGAGTAAATTACAATAACCGGTTCCCAAATTCAAGGGTAACTCAAGTAGTAACACTGATGAATTGTAAAATCAGGTATTTTGATATTGAATATTGAAAATCTTTTAGAGTTATGAGAATTTATCTCTTATGAATATCATAGTCTCATGTGGTTGGTCTGCTTTTAGTTGGACTGGAAAAGGGATTAATCGAGATGCGCGTAAATTGATCTGAATATCTTTGACCGTTAAACCAAAAATAAAAAAATAAATAACTAGAGAGAGAGAGAGTGTGTGTGTGTGTGTGTGTGTCACTTTCATAAACCTGGTTTTTGGATATGTGGCTACTTTGAAGCCCAATCATGGTCATCATACCTATTACCGAGTCTTTTAGGGCCTGTTTGGTATATGGATTTGGGGAGGTTTTAGAACATGAGTTGGGGAATAAACTCCCTCAAAACCATGTTTCGTAACTTAGGGTTTGAAACCTAGTCCGGTTTAAGCCTAGTCATGAAACCCACCGAGAGGTTTCATATGTGGGTTAAAGGGTTTAACATTCAAATGACATTTATTACGCTTTTGAGCAGTATACCAAATGATCCCCTTCAAGATCTTGGGCGTGACTAGTTTGCTTCCCTTTCTTTAACCCAACGTCTTGGCTTTCTGAAACTAAAAGATTGGCTTTCCATTGGACAGCAATTCAAGAAACATATAAAGTATAGTTTATGATGAGAATTTAACATAATTGATATAAGATTTATCAATAGTACATTATTTATGTTAACCGATCCATGTGACACCGGTGGCATCCAAGTCTCACAATTTGCGGGTTCAACCCTAAATTAACCTTAATGTATTGATAATCTCAAACTAGCAATTCAATCTCAATTTTTTTGTTGTAATTTGACCACATTTAATTAATTCTTTACTGAAAAAAATACAACTTAACCCCAAATAATAACTGTACCTCAAATTAATTCAATTCTGAAATCTTATCTTTCTCCTATCCATTTGAAACTGTACGTCAATATTTTCACCTTTTGCAATTGGCACAAGCACTAAACTCTTTTTCTGGAGAAATTTCTGGGTCATTGCTGAAGGAAAGCTTGACTAAACACGTGTCCTCTGTCCCCACTTTTATTTGCATAACTTTTCTTGGTGGAAGACTAGGGGTTCCTGTCTAGTGCAAGTCTACGATGAGTTGTAAATCTAAGTCAACCACGCATTCGGGTCATTTAAGTTTGGACTCAACTGTTAAGTTTTTAAGATTATACGAGTAATATTACACTGATTAAATTTTAAAATTAAATTAAAAATTTAAATAATATGGCAACTGATTTGATCTTCTTTATTTGGTGTCATATCATTTAAATCCCAATAAAACAGCTGACTTGGACTTATTTATTTAGTGTCATGTCATTTGAATCTCAATAAAGACTTCAAATAATATGTTGTCATGTCATTTAGGTTTTTGATTTGGTCTCCAAATTTAGTCAACATAACATTACTGACTATTAGTTTCACATTACCATAATTCTAGACATTAAAAACGTATTGGGTGTTTAGATCTTGGGTAGAGCTAATAATTAAGCCGTGTAATTCGGGTTCAACTAGTGTTTTTAACCAACCGAACATGAATAATTTTTTAGGTTTGACTCGAACTCACAAAATTCGACTCGTTTGTATATAAAATAATCGAATTACTCAGACTTTGCTCAAGTTCGGCTCATTTTGAACTCTTCTTGGACATCAAGTTCAACAGGCTCAGGTCAATTATCAGCCTTAATCATGAACAGTATAAAACCAATTAAAATAGTTGATCGAGCAATGTGATATATATATAACAGATGACGGTACAAACTGATATTGAGCATCGTTGGGGAGATCAAAGTGTAAACTACCCTAATCGAAGATGGTCTTTGCCCAGATATTGTCAATTGTCCGAAAACAGTGCCTGTTAGCACAGATATTGTGAGAATATGTTCTTAGCTCCTTGAATATTTGAGAATCTTTGTAGACCAACACCCACCCCCCCACCCCCAAAAACACCGTCTAACTTAAAAGAACTTTAAAATAATAGAAACATAGAGAACTAACCTCGAAGGAAATTTAGCACCAGCACACCAAAATTCCGATTACTGGACAGAAGGTTAAGCCAGTGCTCAGCCACAGACCCAAACCAAGCCATGGGTTTTGACACAGAGCGCAGGAATTTCTGAGACAAGACGGAGACGAATATGAGCCATCGACGCTTGAATGGCTCCTCAGTCCCCTTCTGGCAGTCCACAAACTTTCTTTTCTCAATCTCACTGGAAAACAAGATCCGAATGAGATCACAGAGACCCACATCCTCTGGGCTCAGCAACATGTAATCGCTGGAGAAACTCTTGTTGCAACTACAAGCAGCCATTGTCTCAGATGCAAATGACAAGGAAAGATGATGGGAGTTTAGATGATGGGAGGAACTATCTACTTTTCTGCCTCACCATTTGTATATGTACTACTTTATAGACTTGACGACGACCAACATAAAAAGATAGAAAATCATTTTGAGGATGGTGGCCGTGTTTATAGGGTTGAAAATAATATAATTTCACGCGTTCCCTGCAGGAATAATTAAGTCAAGTTGGGTTCATCTTTAAGTCACCTTTAGAAATAGGCAAAGTGATTTGTCCTGTGCTTAAACCCCATCTGAAAGTATATAATAGGGTAAATAGCAGTTTGTACCCCAAAAGATTAAAAAAAATCAACTTTCACCCTCAAAGATCAATTGTTTCAATTTATACCTTGAATTAAATTAATTATTAGCAATGCGACCCCAACCATAATGTTTGTTGCGATTTTCTTCAAATTGTCAGCCACAATAGATGCACGTGATGACTTTTATCAGATTATGGTGCTTCCCCTTTTCACGTGTGTCTCACATGTCTATCAATCCAATAAAAATCGTCATGCATGTTTATGATTGGAATTGTGATTTTTGTCAAATTGGTAACCCACATGAAATGCACGTGATGATTTTTGTTAAATTATGACCCTTTGCTTTTCACGTATGTTTAATGTGACTGTCAATTAATGAAAATAACAACAGACGTTATGAGTAGGATTACATTACTATCAATTAATTTTATTGAGAGTATAATTTAAAATAATTTATCTTTGATGGTATAAATTAAGAATTCTTTAGCGTGCAAACTTCCATTTGTCCAATATAATATATAAATATTTGTTTTCTTCCTTTTGAGTCGTTGACCGTTATGAGATTCATGGTTGATGGCCAGTGGAAGGGTCGCGGATGGTTGATTTTGATTGTTTTCTTAGCTGGTCAAGTAGGGGCTAAATCATAGTTTAGAGACTTTACGAATAAAACTCGTTGACGCATTTGTTTTCAGTCTCTTGTCATGTTTTTAAAGTATCGGAGGGGTCTTACTGTAATAACTTTCTAAAATGAGAGTTCAGTATGTAATTCGAGTCAATTTCAAGAATCCTCTTATGTTTTTAAATTAACTGGAGGTGGTGTGAGTGTAATATAAACTATCACATAAGATAATTTGTTAGTAACTCTGATAAAGAAAAGTAGGTCAAATTTTCAAATTCAAAATCAGTCAAATAGAGGTTTTGCCCAAACCCAGCCCTCTTCATAACTTAATTTCATAACCCAGTTATTTTTAAACTTAATTCTCAAATCCAATATTATTTTAAAAATGTCATTTAAAATGATGTCTTCAGATATAAAAACGTCATTTGGAATGATGATTTGAAGTTGAAATTTTTTCCTGAAAATGTCATTGCTAATGACGTTTTTTAAGTTGTCATTCAAAATAACGTTTTTAAACATGATTTTTTTAAACGACAGTAATTGACGTTAAAAATTACAAAGGGGATGAAAACATCATTTTGAATTTGGTGCAATTAGTACGAAAGGTTCTTGAAACCCTTCTTTTTTGGGATCGCTTGGTTAAAATTTGCTTTGAAGATCAAAAGTCATTTAGAATAGATTAGACCACAGTGCAAACTCTTTGGGCAAATAAATTATCATTATCAGGAAACTCATATATATATATATATATATAATTATCAAGAATTTGTATGAACGGTAAACAAAATTCATCTGAAACCCATCTGAACAGTAAACAAAAAACGACATGAAATTAACAAATTCATCTGAACAGTAAACAAAAAAAAAAAATTAGGTCAAATAACAAATTGTAGAAAACTCATCTACATAATCAACATGAAATTACAGAAATAGTACACAAAATGTCCAATAAATCCAATGGTAATTAAAAAAAATAGAGAGGTAATAAATCTAATCATTTAAGAACAAAACTCACCAAAACCATATAACCAACAAATCCTTAAATCAAAACACAAATCGTAGTTCTAACTTTTCTGAAGAAGAGAACGTAGTAGATAAAGAGAGTGGTCTGGACTAAAAATCCAGCCGCAGCTAATATAGCTGAACAAAACAAAGTAAATGTATCGGCTATGTGGTCTGATTTTGTCGGACATGAGCTGAGTGGTCTAATCTCGTCGGAGAAGACGATAGCTGAGTGGTTGCAGGCGGAGGAGGAGGAGAGATCGATCGATCTGAGACAGGGGGCTGACTGGTTGGAGGAGGAGGAGGAAGAGGAGGAGGAGGAGGGGGTGGAGCGATCTAAGAGAGGAGGAGAGACCAACTGAGAGAGGGTAAAAAAATTTTAAAATATTTTGCTAGGTCTTCTATCATGGGCAGATATTATTTAATTAAAACGTCATTTTAAATGACGTTTTCATCGCTTTTGTAATTTTTAACGTCTATTACTGTCGTTTAAAAAATCATGTTTAAAATCGTTATTTTGAATAACGACTTCAAAAATGTCATTAACAATGACGTTTTCAGGAAAACAATTTCAAATTCAAATCGTTATTTCAAATGACATTTTTACATTTGAAGGCATCATTTCAAATGACGTTTTTAAAAAAATACTAGATTTGAGAATTAAGTTTAAAAGTGACTGGATTATGAAATTAAGTTCTGAGGGAGCTGGGTTTAAGAAAAACATCGAATTAAATATGTCAAACTTACATAAATTCTGAGTATTTAATTAAATAAAATTGGAGGATACTTCAATCCTTCGGAAAAGAGAGAGGAGCTTAACACCATTCGAATGCAAACAAACAAAAAAAAACATAACAATGGTGTGTAAGAAATTATCATTATACTCCTAACTTGGATCAAGACAAAAAATGCAAAACATGAACAAACTTGGGAGAGATTTAGAGTTTAAAACTTGTAGAGTAAATTAGACATACAGTTTTCAAATTATGATATTTATGTCAATTAAACTCTTGAACTATTTTTTGTGTCAATTGAGTCTCTAAACTCTCTAATTATGTCAATTAGGCCCTCATGTCTACCTCTGTTAATTTTTTTAACAGAAATGGTTAAGTGTGTCACTCACATGACACAAATGAATCGAAGTAAATTACGCATATGGGCCTCAAATTATGATCTTTGTTTTAATTAAATCTCTAAACTCTCTAATTGTTTCTTTTTGAGCCATTTTATCTTTTTGTGAGGGTCACGTGAGTGGTAATCTCTAACAGAGGCAAACAGAATGACTTAATTAACACAATTAGAGAGTTTAGAGAATTAATTGACAAAAAAAAATTCAAGAACTTAATTAACTGGAGGGTCATAATCTGAGAATTAAATGTATAATTTACTCAATCTTATATTTATTGATTTTAGCACCTTTAGGCAAAGAGGGCGTCACACGTGGGACACACAAAATTTTAGGTATTTTAACAGAAAAATATTATTTAGACTTAATTTGTTGACCTAATACAGTTCAACCATTAAATTGATGGTAAATTCTAACTAATGTTCGGACTCATTATCGATTAAATGATTGTGTTTTAATTAGATCAATAAATTAAGTGTAAATAATATTATTTGTATTTTCAATTTATCCTATAAAGGTTCAAAGGATGCGAACAAAATGTATTTTATTCATAATTATTTGATGTGAAAGGCAACCTAATTGGCTATTGACTCGTTGTATATGCCAGGAATACAATTGACAACTCACAGAGGAAGTAGCTAGGTAGGTCCATCTTTGGAGTGATATAGAATAGGATATTTTAAACCTTTATAGGATAAAAAAAATAAAAATACCTTATTTAAATTTTCGGTTTAGTCCAATCCTCTTTATGCTCAAACCACTACTTTTTTATAATTTTTTTTCCTTTTTTTTTTTTTCCCTTTAACGAAGTCCATGTGTTATTAACTTATCGGGGAAGAAACCAATCATCCAAAGTTCCAAACGACCTTTTAAAAGTCAATAAATATAAAGATTCTTACATGTTGTCATAGCAAAACCACATCTTAGAAAAAAGCGACTAGCATGAAAAAGTTAAAGTTGATGCCTTTTTATTTTTGGGTGGCTCCTCTTCCCAATTATTATATTGTGTGGGGATTGAAATTTCTTTTATGTACATTGTTTGGATTGCTTAAAGAATCGAAAACATTTTAATAATATTTCAAAAGTGTTTCCGAAATCGAATGAAAATGAACAAAATTATTAAAAATTTATTCCTAAAATATTTCAAAATATGTCAAAATATCTTCTTTTTTTTTTTTGGGTCAGATGTCAAAATATTTTAAAATATCTTAAAACATGACCGAACAATGGTCGAAACATCTCAAAAAAGCTCAAAACATTTTAATTCTATTCCTAATTTATTTTGGTCTTTTTAAAAACGAAAATATTTCGATTATTTTAATCTCTTTAATTTTACAATTCATATATATAATTAGATCAAAATATAGAAATTGTTGGATTATTCGTCTTTAACACTAACACGTGTCATTTAATATTCTTGTTAATTAGTCGTACTCTTTTTAGCTTCCTATCGTATAAATGTGTCGTGTCAAAAATAAAGACCAAATATATTCATGTGATAATTAAAAATGTGAAAAATGCATAGCGGTCAAGATGACTCCAACAACCACATACGTGGTTATTTTTCTTTCTTGCTCATCACTTTCATCTGGCTCTACCCCACGTTTATCAAGTACATGAAGAGCTGGTCAGACTTTCGCAACAGAAAGCTGAGTCTTTCAATAATGGAGTTCAATCAATGCTTATCGGCAACCCATCGTGGTTCACGTTTAACATTCGCATTTTATAATAACAGTATTCAATTTCGAAACCAATTTAGTGGCAAATGTCAGATGTCCACATGATGCATATGGTTGATCCAAATCTGAACTAAATTTCATAACATTTTTTTATGAATAATATTCACAATCCAACATTTTTCTATAGAAGAATTCAATTACCGATAAGTGTTACTTTTTCCTATAAATATTCATTAAGTCTTATCATTTTTGTTTGATGCCAATGAAGTCCTATTTTTAATATTTTATTTCAATCAACTTTTAGTTACCGATCCATTTTATTTGTTTTAATATGTCACAACTCCGACAACACACTTTCGGTGGGGCTTTTCAATTTCTACTTGTTTCCTTTGCTCAACAGCAACGGTGTGCTTTTCTTTTTTTGCCAAAGATTATGCATTGAAAATTTTGTTTGCCCTTTTGGTATCAATTTTCGCTTGTTGGAAAATTGCTAGAGTTAAGAAATACACAAC